TTGAGAGTTTCGACAATTTGAAAAACAAAGGATTTTAAATTTAGACTCAAAAGGATCAGACTGTCATACTTGCTCCTATTTAAACTTTTGAAAAAAGTACTACCATGGTTTTGAATTATTCTATTGTAAACATTTCAGTAGGCTATTAGTTTGAAAAAAAATTCTTAGTTTGTTCAATACTTGACGTAATTTATTTGATTTCAATAATATCATATCCAAGAAATTAATTATCATTTACGATTTAAGATTACCAATTGAATAGTTTAGGAACATAACTTAACACAATTAATTTTACACGGTACATCAATTTTTTTCACTTTGTTTATATGAAAAACCATTTCAAAAATGCAATTATAAATGATTAAATTATAAATAATTTTCACGCTAGCACGAATCCTTGTTATTATTTAAGACCAAACGGAAACATCAAACTATCATAACCGCGATTTTTTGACGTGCAGCAGTAAAGTCGTGATGTCGTACCTACAGCTTAACGTGAAATGAATTAGTGATCGTGTCATAAGTGCATCATGTGTAATTTAAAAATGTGCTTGTGGTTCCAGCTGCTCAGGACGGTGTCAAGGATGAAGTGAATACATCAACTAATTAATGCAGCAGCATCGTCGAGACCGTTAATGTGCATCAGTCCAGCTTCGGTTATAACTTAGCGCTTTATCTTGTCGTGCTGACGGTGAACGCCCGGCTGATTCTCAACCTGTTTTACCAGGATGACAACGGCCAGAGAAAAATCTTGGGTATCATGCATGAGACGCTGGTGAAATTCAAAGCTATATATAGAGTCAACGCTGCCACTTTCTCGCTTGGGTACCAAAGCTTCTACAATCTGCTGCATAAGCTTGCTAAGGAGGACTTGGATCGAATTTTTTAGCATGTACGATTTATGAAACGCAGATCTTCGGCTTACTATGAATGAAAGTATTTGGTGTGAAAATTATCTATAATTTAATCATTTATAATTGCATTTTTGAAAAAATTGTTCATATAAACAAAGTGAAAAAAATTAATGTACCGTGTAAAATTAATTAATTGTAATGTTATGTATCGTGTTTGAAAAGATAAAAAGTAACAATGAAAACAAAATACGTACTCAAACAACAATATAATGCAGCGATACATTGCCAACTAATTACATTTTTACGCGGGAATATATTTCTATTGTAGAACTTTTTGAAACATTTATTTAACGTTGAAATTACGTGAAAAAAACATTCAAACAACATAAAAATAACGTCAAAAAACATCAAAAAGTTAGTTAATTTGATTAAATGGCAGACATTTTCAACTTTTGATATAACATTGTTTTAACATTTTTTCAATATATGAGATAAACGTTAGAAAAAACATTAATTAAATATTTTTAAAACATTGTGTACTACTAATCGCGAGCTTTTATCGCTTTTTGGCGTTAAAAAAACTGTAAAATAACTTAACATAAATTGAATTGAATGATCCTGTTTTGATGGTTGTTTTTTTCGTGTTATCGTAATCGAAATCATATGATATATCATATGATTGATCGTATGATTTTTTACATAATTTCTCACAAGATTTCTCATATAATCTTTTTCAGCAGACAGTGCTCTGCACACGTTACATACACACGATACAAAAAAACATATAATACACTTTTTTGGGAACTCAGTCTAATATAAGAATATGTAGAGAAATTTATTTCACATCATCTGGTTTAAAAACTCGTTTTAGAGCCAAGAGCATGTGAACATAATTAAAAAAACATTACTCAAGAAAGAATATAATGATACGTTAAATTTTTAATTTTTCTTTCATTCAGGGAAATCTAAATTTTAAGGGTAATTAGCGACTTATATGTTAAAAGCTTAAATTCAAAATTAATTATATAAATTGAAATAGTGGACATTTTTTTGTGGTAGTTAAATATGTTCGTTTTACACCTGATTGACCAAAAAAACATCTACCCAAGCTCTGAAATACCAAATACATCACTATATATTTTTATAATACTAAATATTGTGTTATAAATCACTTGCCACATGATCTTGAAAAAAGTTTTTCATCAACATTGATCTATGGGGTGTGAAGATCTTCAGTAAAGTACCCTCATCCACTTAAGTGGAGCTGAATTTGAAAAAAATATTTGCTTTTCTTCCAAGAGCTTAAATATGGCATAGTGTTAATAGTTCTGCTCCGCTCAAATGGATGAGGGTACTTTTCTGAAGATTTTCACACCCTACAGATCAATATTGATGAAAAACTTTTTTTAAGATCGTGCGGAAATGATTTATAACACAATATTTAGTATTATGAAAAAAGTGATGTACTTGGTATTTCCGAGCTTGGATAGAAGTTCTTTTTGGTCAATTAGGTGTAGAATTAACATATATTACTATCACAAAAAAATTCCCACTATTTTGATTTTAATAGCTATTTTTAGCTGAGGCTGAATTTTATTTGTTAACACAGGTCGGTCCCCTTAAGTGAATAAATAAAACCACTTACTTTATCGGTTGCTGAAATTTTAATATTCATAATTTTAGATAATTTTCGATAATTCACTTCTGGGATATTTATTTAAAAATTTCAAGATTATGTACATTATATTAAGATTATATTCACAAATATAAAACATAATTCGTCATTTTTTTAAACCAAATTTTTCACTGAAAAAAATCAGGATAGCTTCATTTTCCAACAATGAATATAGTGCACCGACAATATACTATTACACTTATGAGTAAATCTCGTGAAAATGAAATATTTTGCTATTAAAAAAATAATTTTTTTAGAGCACATTCCTGTAACTTTTTGGGGATTTATAAGTGATTTAGAAATTTGAAAAAATGTGTCGTAATTCGCTTGAAATGTGCTCAAAATCAACAATGGGCACGAGCAAAATCCGTTTATATTGCATACTTCATTCATGTTTAATTCATACGGAAAATGTGAAGATGTATTCTCAAAATAATAGGAGACATTTTTGTTTAAGGGGAAGCTCTCATGAGGATCAATTTTTGATCGATTTTTTTTTTTGCTTACATAGTTAGCAAATATCCCGTATAATACACCCCCGAAACCCTTTTTACCAAAATCGATTAGGTTAAAAAGTTATAGGCAAAAAACAGGAGCCGGCTTTTTAAAAGCAAACGATGTATGTATGTACATTCGCTTTCTAAAACTTTAAATGCATTTTTCTCGCATCTTTTCTGCATCGGGCGCCAAGATATCTCAAAAAGTACTGCCCTTAAAGATAAATTTTTTTTTATTTTAAAGCTAATTAAATTGTCTGGAGGTTGAACCTAAAGAATTTTTAATTTTTTCATTATTATTATTTTTTAGAGCCCTTAAAAGAGCCAAAAAAGGGCAAAAAAAAACATTTTTTTCCGGAGTCCGACATTTTATCAATTTTTCATTTTTTTACAATTATTTATGTTCAGCCTCCAGCAAATGTCATCTAGTTTGAGAGGAACTTTGAATTTTTGGTTTCGGGCAAAAACTGAAGGCGCTAGTTTGGCGCTCGTTCAGGTATCTTTTTTTTACACGACCTCCATTAAACGCTGCTAGAGGATAAATAATTCGATATTTTGGTCTGAAAAAATTTGTAAATATAGTTAAATACATACTTTATAAGTACCAAAAAACTTGACTGCATTATTCGCTTCCTTCCACGAAAAAAAATCGCAAAAACTCGTCATTTTTGAGGCGCTAGATGAGAGCCTCCCCTTAAAATATTTAGATTCGTTTATATTTACTTGAAAACTTGTGGATACTCGAACTATTCAACAGAGAAGCAGAAAATGCCTAAATCTAGTCCACACACTCGTAAGAGAAAAATATGTGTCAGCGTAACAAAACATGTACACATCAATTGTTTATGATGATTGACCGCGTTTAAATGATAATAAATACTTATAGTTTTGTTATAATTATTAGCCGGGCAAGCGACCAAGCGAGCAAGAAGTCGTAAACGACGAAAAAAAGTCGAAATTTAATAATAGCGAAGTATAAAATTGTTTTAATGTCCAGAAGTATTATGAATAAATGATAAAAATTTCAAGGCGATCGGATGGATAGTTATTGAGATTATAAATGTCAAACAGACAGAACTCTGCTTTAAATTTTGTGAATAACTTTTTTAAAAGCATGCACACCAAAAGTGGAAATTCCACTCAATACTACATAAAAACTCTTCCCTCATAATTTGGTGATAGTTTACGATGGTGTGCCTTCTTACATAATGAGATTTTATAAAAAAATCGTTAAAATACTAAAAATCGAGTTAAATTTTTTCGAAAGCTCGAGCAATGATGAACGCCACTCTGCAAATAAAAATTTGAAAATTAAAAATAGAATGAGTTGAATTTCAAAACTGATAAAAAACACGATAAATCGATGGTTTTTGTATGAATTAGTGTTTGTGATTAACTAAAAATTGTTTTCGAAACCAAAAAAGTTGAAAATTTAACATAAATATTACCAGGAATGTCTTTAAAGTTTTTACACGAATATAGTGGAGTTGACAACAATATTAAAATCTCAAAAGATTTACTGATATATAGTATTTACGAGTAAAACGTAGCTATAATAGTTCAATTTCTTCTTAAATTTTTTAATAACTTACCTTGAATAGTATCTCAAAAGATACCTTTTCCCAAAAACTTCAGAAAAAAATTGATTGAACTTAATATAATAAGAAAATAATTTAATTTAAATCTATTCTTCAAGTACATTTATAGATTGGATATATAAATGTCGTCAAGTATATTATTGTAAATGCAAGTTGAATATTTCTTTAATATTCTTTCAAATTAAGAAATGAAGATAAAAATAATTGGTATTTTTAAATATTTTAGTCGCAAGGTATGATAGATGAAAAAAATATCTTGCACTTACAAAATTTTATTTACAAATTTCACTTTTATACAATTTCATACGTACAAAAAAATATATTCAAATTTTGCAAGTAAAATATTTCAACATAATAGATAAATAATCGCCTCATGTCTTCCATTAATCCACAGCCAAATTTTAACTAGACTTGTGCATTAAAATATGCTCAATAGTATATGAGCATTATTGAGGTCAGGTGAATTAAGTTCAATGGCAAAGAATTTAGCTTAATTTTTATTACATTTTAGATAAAAATTAAACAATATATTTAACTTATGCACATACGTCTTCTTTATATCTGGAAAATGTTGATCCATTCAATGGGCTTCATTATGTACACGAATAAGCGAAAAAAACTGATTTTTTTCATTAGATGAGTTTGGGTTTCGTTTGTATCTACTGTCATTCAAATGTGATTTTTTTTTTTCGTGAACAGACATTCTGGTCTCTTCAATGTCTATATTTTCTTCAGATTGACTATTATTATACGTGCAATCAATACTAAATTTATTATCTGGAGAACAATTTGATATGCATGATTTACACGTAACTATTAAAGGTTGTTCATCCGGAGCTAATAATGAAGCAACATCAAATTGTCTTTTTCTTGGTGGATGCGAAAAGTTTTTATGAATTATTTGATCATCAAAAGTTTTATTTATTTTGGAGTAATCTGGGTTTTGATGAAAACTCCAATCAATGGTGGGTGTTTGTCTTTCAATATGTCGTGGTACTGAGTTTATTTGTGCAGTAGGAGTAAATATTGGGGGAGGACTTGGACTGTCGGGCTCTTCATCCACTGCTAATCCCATATGCCGACGAACTTTTCTCTGCGCCTTACGACGCCTAAAATCTCCTCGACGAAAGTCTTCTAAATTTGCAGGATGAATTGCCCAATAATGACCTTTACCATTAGCGCTTCTACCAGACTTAACGAAGCAGTCATTTAATGAAAGATTATGTCTAATGGAATTTCGCCAACCTGGACCTCGACGTCTAAAATACGGATAGTTTTCAAGTATATATTGATAAATATCGGAAAGAACCAGTTTTTTTTCTGGTGATGAAAGAATAGCCATCGCTATTAGTCCAATATAACTATGCTGAGGCTTTGGCTCCTCAGGAATATGAGAGTCAGGTGAACGAAGCATAGCCATAGAAAGAGCTAAACCACGGGAATAGTTGCTTTCAGTCGTATAAAGCGGCAATGGAGTTGGGAAGCCCGCCCCCATACCTATAACGCATTGGTTGGCGAGAACATTTCCTGGTTGGCTATTAACATGCTGCGAATGTTGGGGTTGTAACTGTTGAGCAATTCGAATACGTTCTGCCATTGCATAATGATAAAGTTGCAGGCGATAATTCTCAAAGCCTGTTAAAAAACTTGGCATTGTAGAACTGTTAACAATGGAATAATTGCTTTTTGTTGGTGGTGGGCTCTCATTATTACACATGTTAATAATATTTTAAATGCAATATAAATGTGAAAAACACTATTATAATTTCGAAAATAAAATACTAATAAACTTTTCATATAATAAAGTATAGCACTATATCAAAACAAATTGATGAAACAACCTTAATTTTAATCGTAACTATAAATTAAGTTTAAATATCAGTTTTAATATCAACTTTTTACTTTTTTCAATAGAAAACTTGAAATATCTTTAAACTGTTATCATACGTTATCACTATGACGTTTGAAGATACACTGACCATGATTTATGAGCTGTGCTTCAAACCAATATTACCCTCTTACAACACACCCTGCGTGACGCCTCCCTGTATCAACTACAAATCAAAAGTATCCAATGCAGCAACCGCTGGGTGGTTCCACGTTTAATCCCGCCTCCTTGCTTAGTTGGTTCTGAGATATTGATTACAAACTAAGGTAGTTTCGTTCTTCAAATAATATTATGAACGTTTAGGTGGTTCATAATTCTTTTGTAAATAAAATAATTTTCTTGAGTGTATGTACGATATAATTTTTCTATTATCAATATTAACTTTTACGTAATAAAGCAGAATAGAAAACTTTAACAATTTACTTCGTATAAATCAGTGCCAACCTGAATTATTATTTTTGTAACTTTTCAACTTCATATTTATGATGTTAAGATATTGCTGGATTATATCTATTGGACAAAACGTAACTAACTGTATTTCGAAACATACTTCAATCATAATAAATTCATAAAGTAAAAAATGTACAATTTTTTCATCCGTTCATCAAATAAACTATAGTATTATAGACAGGAAAAAGGTTGATAACATAAATCAATGATCAATTACAAAAAATATTTCATTTTTAAATGTCTTGGTAAATAAAGAGAAACAAACACAACTTAAAGCGTATTTAGTTACAAATAGGGATAAATCATAAAGAGTGGAAAATTAGAAAAGATAAATGAATATTTTTTTGAAGTCAGATTAAACTTATATAGAAGTTGTAAAGGCTACGAAGATATAACGCCTTTTAACACTAGTTCGTACTTATTTTTGAAATCTTAAATATTTATTTCTACAGCTAAAGTTGTAGTACATCTTCAATGTGTTATAAAATTATTTTAACGATGTACAAAAAAATATAAATAAACCTTTTATGAAATTTCTAGCTTAATTGTCGAGAAAAATCTCGATACTAATTAATATGATTTGAATTTTACAGGGAAACCGTCTACACATATGACTCTTAGTTAAAGAATAGTAAAATGTTTTATTTATGAAATATTTAGATGAAACCTATCTATTGCTTCAAAGTCATTGTAATATTTTTCCTATCGCGAATATTTTTTGTCTGTACCATAGTGCAATCATTGATTTTTGCATCAAAGCAAGTGGGAAATATGACTAAACAGCATGATTCATACTTACGAAATTTGAAGCCTTAGTAATGCGGCGTTTCACTAATAGAGAAAGCTAGTGAACGAAATTAATTTTAAAATAGATGCATTTATGTTTCAACATTCGGACTTTTTGTTAAAAAATGAAATTGTTTATTAATTATTTTTATTTAAATATCGGTAACAAACAGTCATAATGTTTTATTATTTTTTCAGTAGGTAAATTATAACAATTATTGTAGAAATAAGTTTAAATTGCATCAGCTGTAAAAGTTTAACTTGATATTTCAATGATTAGTTATCATTTTTCTGCCGGCGTAAACATAATTAGATGCATCTTTGAATATTGATAAATTTAAAATATTAATAATGTGCATAACTTGACGAAAACTGGTACTTGTTAGATTTATCCAAAAAAGTTTTTTCTACTTAATGGTCCAGAAATCAATGTTATAAACATTTTTCAAATGTATAACGAGTAAAAGGAAATCTTTGATATTTCAGATTTCTACTAAGTATTCACGTGAAAAGTTTTACAATCTAATAATAATTTTACTAAATCTAATGGGTTTATTGATCAAGAATAAAGTTCAAAAATAAATTTTTTTTTTCAATTTTCATTTATAATATCATATAATTTTTGTTACTTCATTAATAATAAATTGCGATCGAATAAAATAAAATTCAAGTTAATAATCAAATATTTTTATTCATCATTTTAAAAAACAAGTAAATTTCCGAATTCAATTTTAGAATTCTGTTTTTCAACAATATAAAAACAATACTTTTTTGAGTAAGGTTAATATCGATTCAAAGAAAATTTGAACTTATAAAAATTGAAAATGGCGTAAAAACAATAAACAGTGGAATCAACCTTTTTAAAAAAACATATTTACAATTAGTGCGAAAAAAATTTTTTTGACTATCTTATGACACTATATATCTAATTTTATTTCAACATGGATCGAAATTATTTATGTACATTACTTCAAAATAATTAATGATGACAAGTTTGAGAGCTAAAAAAATACCTAATCAGAGCTAAGAAATTAAAAAAGATTAGACTCCAAACGAAAAGAAAATAAATTGTTCCTTTGGAAATCTGTATGTGAATCGATCTGTCTTGTAAAATCGAGCATACTTATGAGTTCCGCAGCTCATTTACTTTGGTTGGAGGTTTATTTACTTTTTTGTATATGTAATGCAGACTTCTACAAAAATATTCTGTAGTCGTCTAGCTAAGAAACAAGATAAAAATTTTTTGTTGACATCTTCCCGAGCAATTATCTACGATTAAAAATTAGGTGAATTTGAAGCTAGGTTTTATTTGGCTTTTGATTGAAATCTTGCTGATTATCAATTTTATAATATAGAAATATTAATGTTCAAAAATTTTAATATCTCTAGATCACTAAAATCGTTATTTTTTCTTATGCACCTCATTAAATTTTAAATAAATTCAATTTATGTTAAAATTTCTTAATTTTTTAAGGTAAATTTCATATGAAATTTATACAAACTTTATAAGGAACTTATGAATTTTTAATGATTCCTAACTTTGCCTTTGAAGTTGATTTTTTTATGTTTTATAGGTCGCTAAAACTCTATTCCGAGTATCTAGACTTATTTGTGGTATTTCTAATATTTAATAATGTATAATATTTCATCGCGAACATTAAAATTGGATAAATTGCATCTTTACGTTTTATTAGAAGTAAATCACTAACGATTAAATATATGATTACCTCGATTTTGCAAAATAAAAAACAGTATGTATTATATGACCCCTGGCAAAAGACATTCATACTTATGATTAAGAGTAGCAAATAATTTTATATACTGACAAATACCACCAAAATATCTTAGTCAGAATTGCAGGAATTAGAAATTTGCGTTAATATTTGGAATTATTATTTTTTAATTAATAAATTATAATAGAATTTCTGATTAGTAACTCGATTTTTTTCTTATTTGTTCTTCAGTGTTATTTATTACAATATTTTTTACTATGAATTAATCTTAGGGTTCTCACTCCGAGAAAGAAAAGTGTGTGGATTAGAAAACATGATATTGTCAAAGTTTTTCTATTGGTTTCTTGTTGCAAGTCATTACAAAAGCCACTTCGATAATTATATGCTAAACCGGCTCATAAATGAATTTCAAAAATTAGATTAGAATACCGAGAGCAATAACGAAAATGAACAAATTTCTTTAATTATGGACTTTAAATCTTCTTTTAATTCCTGTATTATTTATTATAAACTCCTCTTTTTAAAATCTGACATTTGAAGTCCGACAAGCATAGCATGATAATTAATTTGTTTCTCTTATCACGATAAAATCGATGTCAAATTTTGCTTTTGTTTCTGATTTTACATGATAAATTTACTTTAAATCAAAAATCACTAAAAATATAAAAGTAATTATCATTTCATATTTTGTAGTATTTTTCCCTGGCGGTATCATAATTCTAGAAAACCGTTTTTTATAATAAACATTTTAAAAACGTATTTATAAAAAACTTTATAAAAATTATTTATAAAAATAAATGAGATAATAAAATAACAACATAAAGTTATTAACATCAGGTACATGAATACAAGTACATTAGACCGATTGTTATTTACTAAGTTGTTTCGATCTTCGCTCCAGACATTGATTCTGATTCCTAGTGTGTGAAAATTAAAAAGATACGAGTCCAAAAGGTAATAGTTTACACGGTCTACAACAAACCCAAATCGATTTTTAAAAAAATTCTGAAAATATTTTTCCGTGTTCTTTGACTAATATTTTATAGTATATTACGTGTCTAGGGAGCGAACAACTGGAAAGCCTCAGAGCACGTGTAATTATTGGCCAAAGCGTAGCCGAGGTTGATAAAAACGAGCTCTGAGGCTTTCTTTTTTCGCTTCATAGGTGTGTATACTATTTTTCATGAATCCCCCAGCAGAAATTAACTTTTTCGTTTTGGCCGCAGGGACAATAATAGTACTTTACGATACAATTGCCATAAGTAACGCTTTTTGGCACGGCGTAGTTTAGGGCCCGAGCACAGCGAGGGTCCAAATAGCAAAACAAAATGACACCCTTATGACCATGATTGAATCATCGGTTCTATCTGGATCCTTCAGCACAGGTGTACCTCTCAGGACTGTGGGCTTGCTTCATCGAAGAGGGTTCTATGGTGACTGGGACCTCAATTTGCATAATCCAGAGTGAAAAACTTGAGAAAAAGATTGAAAAATAGAGTTTCCTTTGTAGAGTTTAAAAAAATTTTTTTCTTAATTTTTAATGAATTTTTTTAGAACGTAGGCTTAAGGTACCTTTTTCCCCCTTAAGAAATGTAGGCAAGGTAAAAATGTGATGAATGATTGAAAATAAAGGTATAGGCCTACAGTATAGAGGGCACTTTTTAGGCCGAAAAGGCTGAAGGTGCATAAACCCCCCCAATATCGACGTTCTTTACGAAGAGTAACACATTACAAATGTGTAACGAAGACTAGCACACAATAATAGTTTTATGATAAAAACTAGCACATTTCAATTTTTTCTATCTGAAACTAAACTAAAACTAGCACGTTTCAACTACGGCGATAAAAACTAGCACATTTCAACGAATTCGAATAAAAACTAGCACGTTTCAGTGATTGTGAATTAAAGCTAGCACGTTTCAGCAGTTACTACAAAAAATAAGCACGTTTGTTTAGTTCACGTTTACCCTTTTTTACATATTTATTTTTGCCCGTATTTAATATCTCTATAGATGGTAAACAGATTCACAACTAGAAGTATCACATGTCCAATTTTGTGACAAAAAAAAAAAAAAATACAATATTTAATTGTTATTAAC